CGCCCCCGGCTCCCCCCCCCCCCTCCCCAGAAACCCCGAGCCCACCCCTGGCCACCCTGGCAACAAAATCGATACATCGGATTCTACGCAGAAACGCAACGGCGACCCACTTCTATCACAATTTCCTCGCCCCTCTCTAAATAAACATTCGGGGAAAAAAAATAAAAAATAAAAAGCCGCTTATTCAGCCTCTCTTTTGCCTTGAAAAATTGCCGGAACTTCGCTACACTTTTCGTTACGTTTCCAAGAAAACGCCCACCTACTTCCGGTCCCCCCCTCCCCCGGAAAAAACGGTAATCTAAATCACGTTTCGGCCAGAGTGGAAAATGATTTCCGGAAACGCATCGCAAAATATTTTGAAGCAACTTGGGTTCCCCCTCTATTTGTGTCACCATCGGCATCAGCAATCATCGGCATACACCATCCGATTTTTCGCCGAAAACATTTACTTTTTTTACCTCTGATTTTTTAAATTTTTCATTACCGAATTCATCGAGTCGAACGAAATTTGAATCGACCGCACCGCGTGCGATCCTCATAGCAGCCCCCTCGTGAATTTTCGAGGCAGGAGGAAAGAGGTTTATGAATTCAGAACCTCAAGTTCTGAATTTATAAACGCACTCGTGGAGAACGCTTATTGAACCCTATCGATCGCCGGAATGACGTAACTCGTGACGTAGCATGAGTGTGCTTACGAGCGCGCCGGGAAAGTGAGCAATAAAAAATGCATCATCATGACCAACGAGAAGCGTGACCGGAAGAAAGTACTATTGATGGGAATTTTCCAGGCTGAGTAAAGTAAACAGAGCAAAACGACAAGTTTCCGGAGTTCGAATGAGGGCTGGGGGGTTGGGGGCTGGTGGGGCTGGGGGGCGGGTGGGGTGGGTGGGGCGGGGAGTACTGGATCAGGATGAATCCCGGTGAAGTAATTTTTAATACTGCGGTCCTGATTGCAATCTATTTCTGAACTCCGGATAAGGGGAATTGGATAAATAAATTCTGGGGGAAAAAAGGTTGAGACGAGGGACCCTTCCCGAGCCTAATACAGCTGAGTCAACATCGAGGAACGGACACGAAAATGAAGCCAACATCCGTTACCCACCTGCTCCAACCCCCTCCCGCCCCCCCCAACCATCTCCTCAAACATCCAAACCTCTCAAAACACCGAACCGAAACGAACCTGATACACGGAGAAGCGCCTTGCAGCGAGAGAAGCAGGAACCTCCCGGATGGACCCCCGAGCCTCCGCCCGACCTTGTACCGATGCTCGCAGCAGGACGACAGCCGCAGACTCAGCAGCCCGTCCAAGTAGACGGCCATCGTGAACGAGTCACCCGGACCCCTCCTCGATCTCAGTTGAATTATCTCTGCATGTAAATACACCCGTTACCTCCAGTCCTCCCTCCCCCCCTCCTCGACCCCCCAGAGCTTCACCTTGCGGCGACAGCATCCCCTTGAAGAGCGTGGCAGGGGTCCCCCCCCTCACGACCTGCGTCACCATCACGTCGCTCTGCACCGAATGCCCCACCTGCTCCACCCTCCTCCACCCCCCGACGAACTGCAGCGTCATCGTGCACCCCTTCCCCTCCGACCTCGACGACCCCCACGACCCCGACGAACGGGACGACGTCGAATGCGGCGAGGCCGGCACCGACACCCTCGCCCTGCTCAGGCACCTGATGCTCGACGGCACGTACGGCAGACCCGGGAAGAACTGCTCCCGTCTCCCCTTCCCGTCGTCGATCTCGCCCGCCCACTCTTGAATGGACTGCAGCGCCGAAATGACGGTTCGCAGTCGCTTCTCCTCCTTCACCTGTCGGAATTAAAAAAAAAATTGTAGGCGGATCGCTACAACGTCCTTTATTAGCGTCACTTGTCCACCTCGATCGTTATGTCCCACTTGCACGACATTCCTATCCCTCGAATGGGGGAACGAGGAAGGGGGGTGCCGGTAATTGCCCCCTCCGTGCCCCACGCCATCGCGAGGGTCTGAATTTCCCAAAGCCCATAATTTGGGAGTGAGCACTTCTATGGATAATAATTGAAATTGGACCTAAGTATGTCAGTGATTGAATATGTAAATTTCCGTCTAATTCTGCGTTGTGCATTTCCATTTTCGACAGGAAACCGCTCGTAACTGTCGAACTCGGCTTTGAAGGCGGAAAAAATTTTCCCTTCGAATTGAAATGAAAATAAACCAGCGGGTGAAAGACTGGATTCATTCGAGATCGTGACCCAAGATGCAGAAAAGAGAACTCGTCCACGTTTCCACGCTTATCAGGGTCGGCATCGACACGGGAGGAGCCCGCCCCCTTCTCGCGTCCCCTTCTCCCCCCCCCCCC